CAGGTTCAGTTCTGTCAGGGTTTTGACTTTCCTAATCTGATTTTAGATTCGTAGTCTGGTTTTAGATTCCTAATCTTAGAACTCCAGGTGGGGTCTCACAAGAGCAGAGTACAGGGGCAGAATCCCCTCCCTGGACCTGCTGGTCACACTTCTCCTGATGCAGCCCAGGATACGGTTGGCTTTCTGGGCTGCCAGCGCACACGGCCAGCTCATGTCCAGCTTTTGTTAACCAGTAACCCCAAGTACTTCTCCTCGGGGCTGCTCTGGATCCATTGTCTGCCCAGCCCATCCTCATGCTGGGATTGCCCCAACCCAGGTGCAGGACCTTGCACTTGGCCTTGTTGAACTCCATGAGGTTGGCAGTGTCCCACCTCTCCAGCCTGTCCAGCTCCCTCTGGGTGGCATCCCTTCATTCAGGGCCCTTTAGAGTGGAGCTTCTCAATGGGTGTCAAAACTGGTTCAGGATCAATGTGCTTCCCCTGTCAGGGCACTCTTGCAAGTTGTTTTCCACCTGACCTGGAGCAAATTTGGTTTATCAAAACAATTAATTGTGATTTTTTTAGTGTCTCAACTACACTGTAACTGCTGAGAGGAAAATAGTCTTTGGAAGTTTTTAACACTGAAAGGAAGATTTTGCTTGCTTAGAAGGAATAGTTTCTGTTTGAAAAGAGTCAGAAAGAGGTTTGGAATGTTTTTGTTTCTCAGCTGGACCTACTGGCTCAGCTAATTGATTTCCAGTAAGCTGTATGGCAGAGCGGAGGAGTAAAATTATGAATACAGAAACTCTTGAATGATAGGATATTGAAGTCTGGCAGACAGACTTAAGCTTGCTCTGCAAACCAGATGTGTGTCTCAATGTGATTCTGTGATCAGGTGATGAGGTTGGATGTATCTAACACCCATCTAACAGGTACAGGGCCAAACTAGTGAGATTACATTGCTCCTGGCTAATGTCAAGTGTGGGAAAAACTCATTTGCTTGTGCTTGCAACTTGCCTTGTAGATGTGCCCATGTCTTATGTCTGCTGAAGGTCACAGAATGACTGCAGATGTGTTTGAACTGGGCAGATTGACCATGGGGACAGCTAGGTGTGAGCTGATGCTGTGAGCTATGCTCTGGGATGGGGTGTCTTGCTGAGGGGTGTTTCAGTGCCATCAGAGAGCCCATGGACTGACACAGTACAGGGACTCTTGCAGGTTCTCTAACCTGGGCACCTGGAGTGGAGCAGTGGACCCAGGGTTCTCTGAGAGCACCAGAGTTTGAGTCCTGATTTGCTCAACTTTAAGCCTAAAATATGACTGACTGTTGCAAGCTGAGGCTCCTTTTCTTCTTTTTAAGCAGCAGCTATTAAAAATCTCCACAACTTAGTATTCAAAGTAATTTTTATTGTTGATTTTCACAGTGAAATAAATCCTGGGTACAGTATCAGGCTAAAATAATTAGAGATAAGTACCAAATACATACGCAACAACACTGTGTGGTGAAACATGTTCCAGGGTGTAATTGAGACAGCACTGTCTATGCTTCCTCTTTCATTCTGTCTAACAGATGAAAGCCACACCCGAGATTAATTTATTTCAAAACATGTCTGGATCGGATTTAATTATCTATATATTTTTCCATAAATAATCTCAGCTTGAGCTGTTCTTTTACACATCCTAGAAAATCCAAAGTGAGCTCTCTGAGGAAAGTGCTGGTTACTACCAATTCAGCTAGACAGATAACAGGTGATGGGTCTTTTGTAAAAATCTTTGTTTCCTCTAGCCCAATGGAAATTTTTAATTGCGTAAAATATTCAGCACTATAGATTCATGATTCAGAAAGTCTTGCTGACATTGACCAGAGCCCCTTAGCAACAGGTTCTGCACAAACCTCAAATCCTGTTTTTAATAGGCAAAACCCCTAAATGCAAGGTGAGAGATGGCATTCGCCTACAGGGAGCTGGGGAGGAAGGGATGAAAACCAGGAGGCAGCGTTCGGGTCTGGCCGACGAGCTTTAGGTCCCTAAGGGCATTTGGGTTAAGTTTGAATGTTTAGCCTGATGAACCCTGACTCGTGTATGCCATAATGGTCTTTGGTTTCTCTGGGCCTTTAAAAGCCTGCTGGATGATTGGGGAAGGGCAGAAATTCAGGCTGCTGGAAAGCTGAATGCACATGCCTACAACACTGCTCGAAACCTTATCATCTACGGGCCGATCCGACGTGTCAGTTAGCGTATAGCTGTTAGTATAGGGTAACGCTGGCTTTAGCTGAGGGGGAAGTTGGAAGCTGCGCTCCTTAACAGAAATTCTGAAGTGAATGAAAGGATGTTAGAAAATGACCTCTAGTTGTGAGACCTGGGGAGAGGAGGTGTGGGTTTGCAATCATCTTCTCTCCTCAGGGCGTCCCTCGTCGGCTGCAAGTTACTTCTGCATGGGTGGCCACTGGTTGGGCTGCTTCACCTGCTGCTGCTCAATGGGAGGGCACTTCTCCGGAAGGGAGCACTTCCCTGGCTCAGGGCAGGGAGCAGGGATTGGCACAGGGGTCTCCTTGCACTCCTGCTGCTCTGGAGGGCATGGGGTTGGCACAGGGATCTCCTTGCACTCCTGCTTCTCCTGAGGACACGGTGCAGGGTCAGGGCATGGGACCGGGATCGGCACGGGGATCTCCTTGCACTGCTGCTTTTCTTGGGCACATGGTGCGGGTTCAGGGCATGGAACAGGGATCTCCTTGCACTGCTGCTTTTCTTGGGCACATGGTGCAGGTTCAGGGCATGGAACAGGGATTGGCACGGGGATCTCCTTGCACTCCTGCTGCTCTGGAGGGCATGGGGTGGTCACAGGGATCTCCTTGCACTCCTGCTTCTCCTGGGGACATGGTGCAGGTTCAGGGCATGGAACAGGGATTGGTACAGGGATCTCCTTGCACTGCTCCTTCTCTTGGGCACATGCTGCAGGCTCTGAACAGGTAACAGGGACTGGCACAGGGATCTCCTTGCACTCCTGTTTCTCCAGCACACATGGAGTTGGTTCAGAGCAGGAAACAGGGGCTGGGACAGGCAGCTCTTTGCATGCTGACTTCTCTTCAAGGCATGGAACAGGCTCAGGGCATGAAACAGGTGGCAAAGTTGGTGGTAGCTTGCACTGCTGTTGCTGCTGCAGCTCCTGGGGCGGACACTCGGGGATTATGACCACTGGCGTTTCTCCCTTGCCTGGTTCCACCACCGGTGTTGGCAATGGCACTGATTTTTCGGGACATGGTACCACTGCTACTGGCACTGGTTCTGGGCAAGGTGTTGAGACTTGGACATCATGTTGCTGCTGCGGACATGGGAGCGGCTCAGTGCACGGCACAGGGTCTTGGCTTTGCTTTGAAACCGTTTTGCTCAGGCCAGGTGGGAGGGTGATTTCCTGCTTGATTTGCATTTGGTTCAAAGACATCTTTGCAGGAAACAAGATTATCTGCAAGAAATGTTAGAGTGTTACTGTATCTGCTAAATGAAACGCGCTGGGATAAGGGAGAAACAATTATAACAAACATGACTGCTGCCGGAGTAAAGTTCTCTTAACTTGCCCTTGGTTTCCAAAGGCAAGTTGGCTCTGAAAGACTTATGATTTGCTCTTTCTTTTTCATCCTGCCTTTCAGCCCCTGCTCTGACTCTGTCTTATCCTTTCTTCCTCCTTTCTGTTCTGCAATGTCGGACAGCCCTGTCAGGTCTAGCTGAGGTAGAGCCACTCCTTTGAACGTGGATCTGATTTACACTTCAGAACTCTTCCTCCTGTTACTTAGCTCTTCCATGTTAGCTCCCTTTCATTCCTGTCCTGGGGAATTGATGAGAGGAGGTGGCAAATAACAGTTCTGCTGGTTTGACAGTGGTTTCAGAAAGTCAAAATAATAATTAAAAAAAAAAAAAAGAGAATGCTGAAGACAAACATTTAAAAAACATTTGGTGTGTCAAAATGTAGAAAAATATAAATCTGGGCCCAACAGGATATTTTACGGTGAAAAACCAGAAATACTTCATTTGATTTTGCCCCTCTTGAAATGGTTTCCAGATTTTACTTGGAATCAGAAACCTGAGATGCTCATGCCTGAAGTTGGACCTCACAGATATCTTTTGGTAGTACTAAGAGTCTTTACAATAGCAATAGGCCAACTCCTCCTCTTGCTCTGGTTTCACTCTGAATTCATTGATGGTGTAATGCATTGAGATTACCTGTGGCACAGTCCTTCCAGCTGTCATGGAAAAAATTAGCACTGGTAATGCGTCCCTGTGTTTCTGGATTATCATGGCCACTAATAATACGGGTAGCTTGCATGAATCAGAATAAGCAGGAGGGATTTCTTCTCCCAAGGCCAGTAAAGCGCAACAGGCAAATGAGTTTTCCTAACAATTTATGAAACTGTCTCTCTTCTGTGGGCTGCTGAAGGCAGGCATCAGGCTCAGCTGGACTGGTGCTGCATCTTTTTTAAAACCTATGTTGTTGTGTTTCTAGAGACAATCCAGGGGCACAAATTAAAGGTTAGAGTCACAGAGGTGTTGGTTGGAAGGCGAAGTTTTAAGTCCTCTCAACGCAGGAATAGCACCAACACAGAGTGAGAGTGTGCAGGTTCGTTCTCCCCCACGTTGCCTACTCCTCTCAGCACATCTTCAAAGCAAATTCATTCCTCCTTTCTACATCTTCCTATATTCTCCAGATCAATATCATTTGTCTCTTACTATTTTCTTTATAAGGACCTGATAAGATCTTAAGCCAAATTAATATATTGCTCTTGACATGGTTAGCCAGAATGAGACAGCACATTAGGAATACTTTCATCTTTCTGCTCCCTACAGTCCCTCAGACTCTCAAATCTAGCTTTCACAAAATAATTCTTCAATCAAATCAAAATTTAAAAAATATTCTTTTTATAAATAGAATGACAGAAAATAGATTTGGAAGGATCTTTAGGTGGCCATTTAGGCCTTCTCCTTCCCTGAAGGCAGGATCAGTTACACTTAAACCAACATAATTTTATCTAATGTTTTCTTCAGAAAGGGTCTAATTTAGCACTTAGCTATCCTCAGATTTACACGCAATCTGAATTTGCCTTGCAGAGTCATTCCAAGACTGCTTGTCCTACTCCAATGCCCACAATTTGTCTTTTTGCAGAAATCTTTTGCATATTCAAAGGTATCAAATAAAACACTTCTTTAAAGAGGCTGCCTACATTAGGATAAGCAGTAAAATTATAGACATCACAAAAGAGTATCAGTATTCTCTGACTTACCCAACCAGTCAACAGGGAGAAGCGCAAAGTTGAGTGGATAGTGGAGCAAGGAGATTTGAGAACTTTTATATGGTTTCAAAGCCCTGCCTTCTGGGAATGAGTCCTCCTAGGTAATGAGCTCATTCTTTCACAACTGCCGTTGTGCATTTCCTCCACAGACTTGTTTTACACGTAGGCATTGTGAAGAGAGGCTTTTGGTGTAGAATGCGTTTTAATCCCTTCTGACTAATCCTATTTAACAAAAACTTTCTGTGTCAATAAAGGTCATACCCTCAGGTTAACGCATTCATTGCAGACCCCATTGAGATCCGGGGTCTTGGTGTGGTGTCTACCAGCATGGTTCCACTTCAACCCATGCATGAGTCATTTCATGTCCGCTAATGCCCCTGCTTCTTAAGACAGGGGGACTAATCTATACTTCTCACCTGCTTTTCATCAATGAATTACCTAAAGTGACTTTCTTGTCATCCTACAAACTCATGATGGATGGGTTTATTTTTTCCCATGAAGATCTTCATAGATTTCATTCTTCTTTCATTACAGAACAGATAATTTTGAGTACATGTAATTTTCCATGGCACAGAAGATGCAGTTCCCACCTGTCTAAATGTGGCAGAAGAGGGAACTGAGTTCATCTCCATGTATCATGTGAAAAGTAAAGTTTTTTTTTATAGTAATCAAGATTTGTCACATCCAAATGGAATTTGGGCACTGGTCTCATTTAAGCCTCAGAATGGCATTTGAAAAGATGTTTCGATCTATATGTGAAATAAAGGGACCTTGTAGCCTGTACAGTTGATTCCCTAAGCATTATTCCATGTAAAAAAAATTTATTGAATGAAAATAGGTCACTGATTATTATCCTCAGAATCTCAGGGAACTATCAGGGTACAAGTCAAACACTCCTCATTTCTGGTGGTAGGATTATTTTCAGCAGCAGAGACAATGTGTCCCACACAGAGGTGAATTTCATCATATTTGGTTGTCCTGGGACTATCTTAGTCCTGTCTCCACCATTCTAACAGAGTTCTTATCAGCGCATGCACTCCAGATGCAATCGTTGCAACAGGCTAAGCTGGTACCTGTCACCGGTTGGGATTCCTGGGCTGCAAATTTAAGAAGCTGTTCCTAGCTGTGGTATAACTTCCTCTGTTAATAATCGTTTGGCAACTGAAGGACAGAACACCTGAATTTTAGACCACATCTTCTTCTCCTATAACGTGACTTCATCCATGCAACTTCCTATCTTACCTCATGACAGGTGGGGCCCTGCCTTGCTGCCTGCCTGTCTCCAGAAGCTGCTTGGTTTTAGTTGCCAGCCTTTGCTAGCAGGGGGAACATCCTAACCCAAGACCTAACCCTGACTCAGGCCTCACCTGCTGCTCTGCTGGTACAAATTGCAGTCATAGCTCTGCTGAAGGCAGGAACTAGGATACTTTCCAGCAGCGGAGAACCTGCCCGTCTGCTTTCTAGGTAACATCAGGCTTTGTGGTTATCAAAACAGACCTTCTGCTGAGCTATGTCCCTGGAATATAGCCCTTCAAATCAGGAAGATAAAGGGAATAAGTTCAGACTCATAAAAAGAAGTGGTTTTTATCATTGCACCTGTTGGTCTGCAGATGACAGAGCAGCTGGGTTTGAAAGGAGAGAGTGTATGTCATTAGATCAAACATTGTATTTGAATATTTGTGCAATATTCACAAGTGAATATGCTTCTTCAGGTCAGAGCTTCAGCAACCTTTGTTATATCCATCAATTACAGCACCTGAGAAACAGGGCATGTAGCACTTGTGGAGCAGTGTTGAGGCAGACTGTTACAGGCTGCACAGATGTGGCTCTATGCTGAGACATTGCTTTTATTTAAGTAAGCAGTAAGGTTTCTGGAATATTTAAGTGTCAAATTTCCAGCCTCAACTTGCAACATCTAGTTTATTAAAGATCACTTTCCATAGCTGGAAGGGAGACGACCTGAACCCTGTCTGGAGATCAGAAGGTGGGGCCATCCTGACTTAAACGCTGGTTTGGATCCAGGTCTGGAGAGGCTTAGGAAGGTCACTTCAGCTCCATGTCAGCAACCTCAGCAGAAAAATGATGGTAATTATCATTGAAGAGGTTCTGAAGTCAGCCCGTGGAAAGGGAGTGAATGTTTTTCCCAAGGTAGTGGTGTAATTGCTTTCCCCTTCCATGTGAATTGCACAAAGACTATTTTTAGAGACAGATGTCATATGCTGTGAAACCTGACTTGCTGAAACATTTGGGAAACTAGAGAAGAAACGTGCATTGAGTAAGGTAGCTTTACAGTGAACGTGGAGTTGAGCAGCTCCTCATCTGTCTCCTGGTGGAGCCTGGCTTGGTCTCACTTGATAGTGAAGTTGTACCACTAATTCCAGGGAACATAACACCACAAGTGAGAAAAATACTGGCTTGAGTCCATCCTTCCTAGACAGAAAATGCTACTCCAGCTCCCACACAGCTTGGTTAGGTGCTGTGCTGCTATCAACCCATCAGTGGCTTTGCAATTGCTGATCAGGTAAGTCCCCAGAAGTCTAAGAAGCAAAGAAGTCTAAGAAGCAGGAGGTATGCAGCAGTTATGCTAGCAGCTCCCAACAGAGGTCTATCGCTGCCAACTTTATCTAGTTTACCATCGAGTGTCTCAGTAGCAGTAAGGGTCCTGAAGTTCTTTACTGCTTCAGTCTGAAAAAAAGGATCAGCTTTTTTAGAAGTGAAGACCACTACAGAGAACCTCAGCTTAGCATCTGAAATGCTCACTGTGATCCTCACCTCATGTCTGCATGGGTGCTCTTTAATTTTTTTCCGTCCAGTACTTTGAACCTTTGTGCACAGAGAAGGCGATCTGAGGAAACTATTGCGCTCCTGGTTTTCGTGTCTTGGTGTGATTCAGAAGTTGCTGAACTGGATCTCCCAACACATGGCTCACCCTGATGGCTTAACTAGACACTGTTTTGCTAACACCCCATCTTGTTCTTTATTATTGTGTCTGTCATCATTTTAGGGTGGACATCTTGATTAACTCGTCTTATGAGACAAAAGACATAATTACCTGTTGCTGAATTTCCTAGTATCGGTCTGTCTGCCTCTGAGTCCAGTCACTAAAGCACCTTCTAGTGCTGGAGACTGAGTGTCAAGTCACATTACAGAAGATAAAAAG